TATCAACTCTTAGGATCAACCACATACAAGGAAACTTTCAATTTGCATCATCTTATCAGATTTTGTTGAATTGAATTGAACTGATGAATGTTGCTGCTGATTCTGAATTTACATTGAGCTTACTGGTTTTTGGCATACTGGATTTCAAGATGAGTTTACCGGATTTCGAGCTTACTGGATTACGCCTCATGCTTAGCCAGATTAAACTCCTATTGCTAACCGGATTAAACCCTTTTTATACCAGATTTTCTTGTTCTTTCAGCCCATCCCAGATTCACTCACATACCCATTTTCACATTTTTCAGCATACTGATTTCTTCATTTTTTCAGCACCTTCATCTTTACATTTGTTGAAACAGGCCATTTGCATTTCCTAGATCTGATTTTTTGTTGTGAAGAAGCTGCTGATTTTTCAGATTTGAAGATACCGGTTTTGCACTGATCTAACCGTATTCACTCACAAATTACCGTATTTAACACAGGCTTACTGGTTTTGAAATAGCTTACCGTATATGCACAAGACATACCGGATTTCCAAGGCTCTTAACATACCGGATTTACTCAATTTTATGCATACCGGGTTTACACTTTACCTACCGGATTTTCACAACTCACCGGATTTGGCATGGACTTACCGGATTTGACATAAATTAGAGCTTACCGTATTTAACACTTCATACCGTATTTGACAGAGCCTTACTGGTTTTACAAGGGTCTTATTGGTTTGGAGTGAAAACAGAGCACACACCGTATTTGCACTCAACTCTCCGGATTTGCACTACACTTACCGTATATGCAGTGAACTCACCGGATATGACATAAAAGCTCTGTTTTTCCTCTCTTTTCAGCGTTTTACCAGCCTCTTTCTAGCTTGTTTTCAACCATTTTTCCAGCTGATTTCTTCCACCTTTTTTGATGCTAAGGATTAGTTTTTCAGCTCTAATCTTCAAGGATTAGTTTTTCAGCTCTAAATCCTTGCAAAACACCCAAATTCAACCATTTCTCAGCTTCATTTTTACACCAGTTTCCTCCATTCTTTTCAGCTTTTCCCAGCTTCTTCTTCTTCATTTTTTCATCATTACCAGCATCTTCATTTTGAGATATCAATCTATGAATCTCAGATTCAATCACAGCATCTGACTCACAGTTTCATGAAGGACTTTCATCAGTTGCAACATCAACAGATTTTCTCCCCTTTTTTACTTATGCTCATCATCAAAAACGACCTCAGCCATATTTTTCTCCCTTTTTTTTAGGTCACATAGGAACATTAAATCACAGATTCTATGCATACTGGATTTACACTTTGCTTAACCGGATTTAAACATGTTACCGGATTTTGCACTGACTTACCAGATTACATATTTCCTCTGTTTTTCTTCAGCATGTCCTTCTTCATTTTCAGCTTCTTTTCCCTTCTCAAGAATCATTAGGGCTCCAGGTCTTCTTCATTTTTCATGAGCTCATCTCCTTCTTTAGGCCATTAGAGAACAATGAAAATCAGATTTTATGCATACCAGATTCTTTCATTTTTTTAGCCACTTCAACATGCCGGTATTTGCTCATGTTTTCAGCCATTTTCTGCACCATCAGGGAGTCTCTTTTTCAGGGCTGCTGCTGATTTTTCAGCCATTTTCGACACCATCTGAAATCAACCACACCTCCCAGGGCTGCTGCTGAAATCACCTTCTTCAAACCGGATTTACAACATTTTCTGGCTGCCCTTTTTTCAGCTCTGGCATCTTGCATTTTGCTTTCAATTTTTCAGGTCCCTCAAGAACATTTGATGCTCTGATACCACTGTTGGCTTTTTGCGGAACTAAGG